TGAATATAATTTTGGATCCATGAATGATGATTTTCATAAAATCATGATCTCTAGTAATGAATCAAACCATGCTCTGATACCACTGTTGGGAAACGTGCAAGTTTTAAAAACTTTTCGAGGGATTTAAATTCATAGATCTTGATTCATTACATAGAGACAAGTTTTATGCAAAAAAAAATAAAATATGATGTATTATTCAACTAAAAGATTGAATACTTACATCAAGGTTTGAGTAAACCTCAGATCTCTCCTCTAAAGTGAATGTTCTCACTTATTGTAGATCCCTTTTGCTAGACATTTTTTCCATGGATCTCCATCTTCTTGGTAATGGTCTTGCCTTTAGGAATCACTCATAAGCCTCCATGAATGACCTTGGAAAACTAGGCTTGTGGGAGCCTCCATTAGATGAGAACATAAACCCTAATTTTCTAGAGAGAGAAAATTTATTCCTTTTTCCTTCTCATAAAAATCACCCCCTAAAATATACATAGACCATGTATATTTATAGACAACATAAAAATAAAGAAAAGGAAAAAACAAATCCTTCTCCATCTCTAATTCATATGTCTCAAATCTAATATGATTCCAATATCAAGTTGGGCTATGAGTGAGAATCCATTGGGCCTATTATTTTATTGGCTACAATGAATTAATAATTGGCCCGGTCCATGGACCCAATTCAATTAATTCATAAATTAATTTCTACTCCACTAAAAGAAATTAATTGAACTCCAATTAAATAATAAATAACCTCTAAGTCAATATTGCACTTTGACCCTTCTATACATAATTAGTTATCGGATAAATATAGCCATCAATCCGACTACTTAATTAATATATTTATTTTGGTACCTTTGATTATTTATGGCTCGATCACAATAAAACATTTGTTTGACAAAAATAATAATTTAAATAAATAAATATATAATAAATCATTTTGTCTAAAAACACACGAAGGCCTTCGAATTTACTTTGTGATCAACCATAATCAATACAAAATAAATACAAGTAGCAATGATGCAAATATTGAAAATATAACCCTCTAACTATTAATTACATAACTACCCAAAGTGTCGGTCTAAGGATCCCGAAGAATCCGCCGAACAAATCAAAGTAATTATTAATTAATAAAAGAGTCTATACTTTTCTCATGCTTAAGAGTCAAATGCCATGACGGTGATAGGGAGTAATTGCATACGACGGCTCTCGCAATATATCTCAACCTAACGCGGATCCAGTTCAAGTCTTAATTAATTATGAGTCCATCCATAATTACCGACTATGAACAATTTATAATTACTATTTATATATCATGCATTGATTGTCATCACATACATATATATAAATATTTCTTGTAATTACATGGACACTCTCAATTTCATAGTGAATCGAAACATAATACATTGAATTCACCAATTATATAAATCATAAATATTTCAGATATGTCAGGAACATATGTCACTATAATCCAGATAGGAATTTGCTATGCCAGGGCATATAAATCCGAACACATACATCATGATATCTCTATCTTTTTGTGAAACTCATGAACAAATATTGCAGCATGCATCTAAATCGTTTGAAATGTATAAAGATTGTACTATTAAAATTTTGTACCGAAGTTCATTTGAGTAGTACTCCCAAGAAAGGTTCCACTTGACAAGAACTATAAAATCTCTGCATTTAATTAATGGATTGAATGATATATTAAATGATTCATACTTTTTCAAATCTCAACAAAATTGTATGGATGCAATAGTTAAATATGAAAAGTTTATAATTCTTGTCACAAGGGAGTTCTCTTAAGAGCATTACTTAATTCATGAGTAATGTTACTATAAGGTCGATCTCATGATAGTTGTAATGAGCTCAATCTACTATAAAATTAGCACATTAAAGGGTACAAATTACATTGTTGTGTAGATAATATAAAATAGACTAACAAGTACAAAAAATCAACTCAAAATATTATTATGTAAGACACGGAAAAAAAAAAAAAATAGTTTAATTTGATCAAACGAAATCAATGTAGATTGAAAAGCTATGCCCAAACAACATGTCTTAGCGAGCCCCTAATCGCTTCCTATTCGTTTGTGGGTCGGGACTCGAGGATCTCAATAAATTCGCCACCACGTGCATCAATGCGTCAGGCCATTTCGCTTCCATGCATGCACCTCCAGTGAATTTCACATCCCCGAAATACCCTTTCATACTCCTCAAATGGTCTTTACCCTCCTCCACTATTTTCATGATCGACCTCGAATTCAAGCTAGTTTCATCTAATCAATCTTATGTTTGAGGAAAACTATTAGATTAATTGATATCTTCATTGAGCAAATTTATAATTGTTCTTGTTAAAAATATTGGGAGAGAATAAAATATGTATTGCATTGTATGTAAATATAAACAAAACAATAGAATGAGAATGTTCATTCCATTTCATTCACATTTTTATTTCATTTTCAATTTCATTCTATTCCATTTCATTTCATTTTTGCTTACCAAATTAAGTCTAATTAGATATACTTTTATTGAATTAAATAAATAGATTTTTTTTAATATTTATACATTGCTTTTTATTGAACATCAGTAATTCAAATTTAAATATTATATATTTCCTTCTCTTATTATATTTCCTACCACTAAATTATTATTATTAGTATTTTCTAATACAATATTATTAAATAAATTTTAATATTATATATTTCCTTATTTTTCTTTATTGAATTTCAGTATTTTCTACTACTATGTTAGTATTATTATTAGTATTCTTTCTCAAATTAGATTTTTTTTTTTTTCCTAATTAGTACTCACACACACATGCCTTCACCGAGGTCGAACTCCTGACTTCCCTTTGAAAAGTAGAAGCCTGGTACCGCTAAGTTACTGGCCTGTTGGTCTCAAATTAGATTTCATATGATTGAATTTCAGTAGTTTAATTTTTTAATATTATATATCTCTTTCCTAATTAGATTTTCTTTTATTATATTTCAGTATTTCATACTACTATATTATTATTATTATTATTATTAATATTTCTAACTACTATATTATTAAATAAATAAAAATTACTAAAGCTCTTTATACTTTTAATAATAGTTGTCCCATATTAGTTATTCAACCTTGACTTTAGACATTCTCCTTTTAAAATTACCAACATGGAAAATGATGGAAATATTACGTTTCTTTTGTTTAACTTTTGAAATTGGACAATTAATTTGGACGTGCAAGAAAAAATAAATTGAACTATTAATACAGCACAAGGGGAGTACATGCACATATTTATTTTCTCTTTTCACTTTGGTGTGTAATAAACACAAGAATAATCTTTTAAATATATATATATATATATATATATTTTCCTTTCCCCTTTATCAAAATCACAATTCTCAATTGCGAATGTAACATTAACATACTAATGGCATACCGAAATCAAGTCCTTATTGCTTAAAGATAGAGTTGTAATTCAAGCTTCAACATAGATGTATATTTGCAAATGTCAACTAAAAAATGATATCTGGAATGCAAATACCGATAACAATTATTTAGGTACTTTTACCAAGGAATTGACCACACGTGACCCCATACCACAAACTTTGGGACCTTCAACTCTTGCCCATTTTGTATAAAAAAAAATAAAAAAATCTTGCACATTTAAGGAGAACTGTATAGTCCGCAATCATCTGAGTGTGCATAAGTATTAATTATCATATGCGCATGGAAGATAATCCATGTCACTCCCCCCAAGAAGTATTGAATATCATTTAGATACTGAAAATACAGTGCTCCCATTCAATGGGGAGTGAGGATTCCTAAATAACAGAAACTATAAAATATTAATCGGATAAGGCTATATCATTATAAGAGTATCACTATATATTTGACTCGCTAGATTGTCTAGTACACAGACAGAGGGTTTTTTTTTTTTTTTTTTAGTTTGAACACCGACACAGGTTGTGTAAAGAATTTATACACAGAATTAAATTTCTACTGTTAGATATAAAAATATAAATTATTTTTTTAACTATAAAATAGAATCTGACTATTATTATTTAAAGTTAAGGTGTGCATGCATTTTATTACATACCAAGAAATGAGTAAACATTTTGCGTGTGTATATATATATATATAAATTTGTTTTAGAAAGAAAAAGAGGAGAGAAGGAGAGAAAGTGAGGCCCGCCTCTTCCACACCATTGCATTATGCTAGTTGAAATAAGCATCATACCTGATGCTCTAAGTGTGGAGGATTATTTGTAGTAATCTGGATCCTGTTTGGTGTCATTTTATCATTAGTCGTGTTTGTGTTGTTTAACTTGTTTAAATAACTTATGTTTTATTTCTCATGCAACAACTTTACATCGGTTATGCAATAATTTTATATTATTTATGTAACAATTATATTATATTATTTCTGTAACAACATCAAATTTATATATATATATATATATATATATATATATATATATATATATTTATTGCACTACGTCGAGGATGAGCCATCGTATAATGATAAGATCGCTATATTGACGAATTCAAATTATGAAAATAGTCTCTTCATATGCACCGGTAAAATTACATTAATCTAAACCTCTCCAAACCTTGCATTGATACACTCCGCTAACTCTTTTGTTGTAGTTTTTTTTTTTAAAATTCCTGAATCCAAATTCTACCAAAAAATAAAAATGTAAGTAAAGTCTCACCAGGTGAAATGTGGGGGCCACATATGCCTGGGTCGTCCTAGAGTGGCCAACTTGAGCATTTACTCATGAAAAAATGTTCTTAAGTTGGCCCAAAAGAGGAGAATTGGACTTGAGATGCCCATTTATAACCATAGTAGGTTGGGGCCGAGTACTATTAAAAACTATGTGCTCTTCCAACTGTCAGTTGGGCTAGATATCTGGGCTGGGAAACGTGTTCCCTTCCAATTAGGCTCATCTCTGAGATTTCTCGTTCTATATGTTTCTGGAAACTTCTTTTCCAAATAAATAAATAAATAAAAACCTAATATTTGCCGCTCGACTTTCACAGCGGAGGAGCTTCTAGCATTTTCCATCTCTCTCTAACCTCAGCGAAATAGAGCACAGGAAAAGAATGGCGGACGATTTAACCCTAGATTTGGTGGAGCTACGCCACCTTCAGAGCATCGCAAAACGGCCTCGGATTGTTTCCCTCATTTCCTCTGAGATTCGCAACTTGGAGAAGGTTTTATCAACCACTTACTACTCTTATTTGATTATATATATATATGTGTGTGACGGTATAAATTGTTATGTGGAATATTTTATTTTTTGCCTCTTGAAGGTTCAATTTATGTGCTATCCTTATTAATGGATTTGAAATATTGAAGAAGATATGTTATTTTCGTAATGAAATGGGTCACTTTTAAAATTTAGAGTAAGAATGCTTGCGAGTTCTATGCTTGGTGCAGCTATGCACATGTGCTAGCTATTAAATAGGCATTAGAGTTGTTGTTGGACAAGAAACTAATCTGATCATTTTATACAATTTTTGGTTGATGCTAATATTGTGCTTATATGGGATTCATATATTATAGCTCATTAAGAAGGTACTAAGGCTGTTAGACTACTTATATATATATATATATATATATATATATATATATATATATATAAGGCTGTTAGACCAGTTTTATTTTGAATAAATGAGGGTAGATTTTAGTAGGAAAATTTTTAAATTGCTTTTTTGTGGTTGGAATTTAGAGGTCCTCTTGAATTGTCAAAGTATTGAAAGGCAAATTATATAATGAGATTCAATAGTTATGATACTAAGGAAGCAACCTCTCTGTATGTGGAGGTAACGCTGTGCGCTTCTAACCCTTTCTAGACCCCACAATGGTGGGAGCCTTGTGCGCTGGGTTGGCCCTTTTATTCAACAGTTATGCTCCTCTTTTTATATGTTGTGCTGTCTTTAGATTGTGATCAAGTTTTTCATTTTGATGGTGTTGTAGTTTGGTCGGCCTCTCGTGGGGCCAAAGTGTTGAATGGGAAATTATACAATGACATTCTGTTGTGATGCTACTGTTTTATATGTTCAATTACCTCTTCAGACTTCGGTTGAGTTTTAAAGATGGTTGTGCTTTAGAGGTCCTCTTGAGGGGTCAAAGTACAAATGTCTTTCTTGGGTCATCTAAGATTTGAGGTTGGATGAAGCCACTTGATTTGGTGCGTGTATTTTACTTAATTGACAATGGTAATCTAATGACATAAAGTGGAGACTGAACCCTGCAGTGACTGTGGAATGTGGTTCTCTTATTGAAGAAGTATATTAAGTTTAGTAATCTAGGTTTTACCTTTTAGGGTCTGCCCTCACTTATCTATGTTGTGGCATTTTTTTCTTACACGCACACACAATACACATTCAGGGGAAAACAAAATCTAGGAATCTAGTTTCTCTGTAACTGACCAACGGAATAATGGTGGGGTTATATCAGCCGAGAGAGGGGATCTTATTCTATGATTAGGAGTGCTCTTTCTCTCGTGCTCTCTGTCTCTCCCTACAGTTTGTTATTTGTTTCTCTACTCTCTGTTTTATTCTGTGTTATGCAACCTTTTTTGTTATTCATAGATAAGTTAAATGAGATTGTTGAGAAGGTTGCGAATTGGTGCCATTAGTCTCATTAATGACTTCTCATGTTTTAAGGGATATCCTTGTGCTTTTTATATGGAGTAGCTATTGGTGGAATCATAGTTAATGGGAATACCATTTTGGGAGAAGTTCAGATTCATATTGAATGCATTTCTTATATTTTTGTTTCCTATGATTTGGTTATGATCTAATTATCTTTACTTACTTCAAGTGAAGTACAAGACTGACATGGTTAGCTGTCCACATTACATTACCATTTTAAGAAGTAAATAAATATCCATTTTAATTCATTTTGAAAAGCCCTGTATGATCCAGGAGATTAACCTCTTTCTCATAATCGTACTATTATAAGGTCAAAAGATTGTTCCAGTCATTATCATTTCCACTCTCACCTCCCTCCCAATAACAATAATAAAACGAAGCCACACAAAAACTTGGAGGAGGGCGTCCCTTCCTTGTTCATGTCTCTTGCGATATGTCTGTAGTCAGCAAATAGAAATTTGGTATTGGTTGTATCTCTCTTTCAGAGCTCCATCTCCCTCTCCCTCGTTCTCCATATTTTTATCTTACTTTGCAAGGATGTAATACGCGAAAAGAGAAAGAGAGCAAATTGGTCAGAAAAAAGAAACAGATCAAAGTCAGAGGTCAAAATGAGAGAAAAGTAACAAATAAAAAATTGACTAAGACACAATCTTTGTTAAATTTTGACTTCTATCTTTCAGATAGTCGAATAGGAACTCTTTCAGTGAACTACTATTGTTAAGCATTAAACAATTATGGCAGTAATAGTATTATTATTTTTTTAAATTTTATTTTGCGGCGTTGTAATTCTTATTATGGAATCTGTGCAACTGCTATTCAATGGGATATTAACCAATGAGTATTATCAAGGTTCTTAGTGTTTTTACTAAATACTAATTTGCTCTTGAATTTCCTTATAAAGTTGTCGAAAGAAGCTGCTTCTACCACAATCTCACAGACTCCGAGCCCAATTGCAACTCCAAAGGTGGTCTCTACCCCATCACTGATTTATACTACACTTGGATCTTTCAGCTGGGATCAAGACAATGAGAAAGTCAAGGTAAGCACACCATTTATTGGTAGGGGGAAAAAAGGGTAAAATTATTCACCACCCTTGAAGGATTCCCATGGATTTGTGTAATAAGAACGTAGTGGAAATATCTGACTTTTTGAGACATTGCAACTTCAAAATAACTGGGCTGCCCGATATGCTGCAATGCCTGACTGGTACTTATGTGTTCAATGTGGAAATACTAATTCTATATAAAAATGTCCTAGTTACATAGATTTCATGGGTTGTAGGTAGTTTAATCTTTTTTCCTTGTTATAATTGCTTGAGCTTGTCAAATTGTCCACCTTTTTTTCTTTTCCCCAGATATATGTCTCCCTCGAAGGAGTTGAGCAGGAGAAAATAGAGACCGAGTTCAAGCCAACGTCCCTTGATATCAAATTTCATGATGTTCAAGGAAAAAACTATCGATGCGCCATACCAAAATTGAATAAGCAGGTTGTGCCAGAGAAGTGTAAGGTGGTAGTTAAGCCTACAAGGGTCATCATCACATTGTTTAAAGCTTCAAAAGGGAACTGGTTGGATTTGCACCTTAAAGAGGATAAGGTATTGCTTATTAGGAACCAGAACTTTTAGTTGACTTTGTGTCTATGCATGAAATAATTCTCATGTAACTCTGTGATGTTATGATTTTATAGCTGAAACCAAATCCGAACAAGGAAAAGGATCCCATGGCAGGAATTATGGACTTGATGAAGGTATGTTTTACATTTCAGCATTCAATTCCTTTAAATCAGTACATCACCTCCTTAGTTCTTTTCTTATTTACATCCAAGTTTAAATGTGACGTGTAGAACATGTACGAGGAAGGGGATGATGAAATGAAGCGAACAATTGCAAAAGCATGGACAGATGCAAGATCTGGCAAAGCTGCTGACCCTCTGAAGGGCTATCGTTGAAGTCATTTGGTTGACTCATGTTTTGACAAATCCTGAGAAAGTAGGTTTTTGTGATCCGTTTGTTGTGCTTCATCTTATATACTTGATACGGTATTGCACAGCATGGAGGGTGTTGTCATTTTGTGTTCAAGGTGGTATGTGTTCAAGGTGGTAGAACACTCGTATGTCTGAATGGTTTTCTGGAGTAGTTATGACAAATATAATCTATGCACATAACCTTTTTGAATTGTGTCTTATGCATATCAGGCCTTCATAATTTTGGATAATGGCATGAATCATAGTGTTATTGTGTACTGGAGCTGTCCGTTTGCTGCTGTCTGACCTGGGTAGAGATGGTTTGAACTGCCTATGTTGTCTTCTAAATTAGGTTGAAATGGCCTGTACAAGAGTGATATACTTGTTTTGCTGTGCTCCATGGCCAAAAAAATGAATGGATACTGAGTGGTGAGTTCCCCTCCTGTGGAGGGGATCCCATGCCTTGGTCCTGTGTTGGTTTAGATTGCTAGTGCAACAGATGCATGAAAAAAAAAGGTTTTGGATAAGTATACTTGTTGCATAAGCGAAGTAAAATAGTTTCATAAATGATGTGAACAACACAGGAGAGGGTACGGGTTTGTGAGTCCACAGCGAGTTCAGTTTGAGATGTTACTATCTTTTTCTACATGGGAATTTCCTAAAAAAGAGAAATAACCTTTTCCACGTGCAGGATTTTTTGTGATAGAACCTGAACAGTCTCAGGCAATTCTGCAACCGCATGAGATTTCATTAACCCAACTGTTAATGGCAAATGCGTTTCTCAAGTTTTTTTGGTTGTCATTAGTGTATTCACCCAATGACAATATTTTTTTAAAAAGTTGGTCCACCTAATTATAAAATTGTAGATGATATGTTATATTTCGGTAGATGTATGCACTAATGATATGGCGCGCGCCTAACGCACACAATATCTACTCCTTCAGAGGACCAAGTCTTCCCAACTGCACTGCCTAGTTATTTTGCCCAGAGACACAATTTAAACACGAGGTGTTGAAAAACACATGGATATGTAGTTTTAGTTCATTTCATATGGATGCAGTTTAGTGGGGACCTTTTAAACTCCCTCCCTCCCAAAGTGATCGCAATCCTTCAAGTTGATACATGAAAAAGTTCGGCTATATTTTGAACATTTTTTTTTTTATGGTGCAAAGGTTCCTTTTAACAGCAGTATGACGATCCTCTAACCTTGCCATCAATGAATTTGTGTGATATACGGCTAGTTATTGCCTACATAAAATTGAGCCATGTCTGTTTCAAAGAGAAGGAAATCAAATTCTGGATTTGACAGTTCAAAGTCTCCCTCAAATGTCTATGAGTAGGTTAGGTACATCTCACACCAGTGGGAAGTAATGATGTTTTGCAATAATACGAATCACCTAGAAAGGGAAATTATTTTCAGATCCGTGTAAACTTAACCCTCGTAAGGAGTCCAGAATACAGTAAGGAAAATAATACATTGCATAAACTATGAGGTCTTCTACTTTTCTTTCATATATATATATATATATATATATATATATATATATATACATATTCTCGTCTTCCTTCATTCCAAAAGGAATCAATAATGTGTGTTGTAAAAAAAATTTACCATCACAATATAACCTCCAAATAAACCTGAAATGAATCTTTGTAGATGTAGGAAACAAACTTAATAAAATTGTGATAATTCCGGAGGTACCCGCCCAAAACATTTCAAGGTAGGGACAGATACATTCAAAATTTCTTCCTCTACATTATGTTCCTCTATAACTGCAGACTTGGTTTCTTAAATTGAAACACCTACTAAACTCTTTGGGATATCAATTATGAAAAATACTTGAGATCGGAGAGCCTAGCTATTCACAAAGATAGAGCAGAAACAACAATAAAAAATACAAGTAATAATTTAGCTCGACATGAGAACACCAATTAAAATTCTCTAAGATGGAAATGATGAATGACTGTGGTAAAGTTTGGAGAGAAATTTAACCGTTCAGAACTATATAACTGCATGCCTTCATTGGAGTATTTGACTGCCATAATCGGCATTAAACTTCTCATAACGGTGAGCATGAAGATGAGCAGAAGGCCTCGTATTCTTCAAAGCCGTCTTAATGTCTTCATGTTTGATTGGACCAACCTTTGGCAATTCTGCACACCAATTATCAATCTTTCAGTATCTTGTAAGTGCTTGAAAATTGATTAATATAACTTGTATTTTAAAGAAGAAAAAATGTTCAGATTTTTCCCAACAACTCCTCAGGTGTGGGAGGTGCATCTGAGAGGGCGTGTGTTGCTTTTTTTGCTCATTTATTTTTCTTCTTGTTATTAGGGAGGGATAATGAAGTCGTCTGATAATTAGACTATGTACAAGACCATGCATGACTTGTTTGTCTCGCTTGCGAAGACTGAAGATACAAAAACATATGAAAGGACTTGGGATCAGAAATTATACCGAGAATAGCTCTAGAAAAGGAACCAAGTTATATAATTGAGGACGAACAATTCAAGTGTTCCCTTTAAAGCTTAAATTAACCAAACCAGTTCCAGAAATTCTTTAAAAACAATGATTCCACCCTCCCCCTTCTTACTCAATTCCAAATCTTAAGATTTAGAACTCAGCAGTGACCCACCAAGTATGTAAGCACTAATGCCACTTCACAACAGCAGTCTCTTTAACTAGGCAAAAGGATTGGTCTCTCTCCTGTGCTTCCTGAACGCTCCCCGTCAACCAAAAAAAACAAACACACATGTCCAGACAAAATAGCCTATCAACCACTCTCAGAGGAAAAAAACACAAAGAAATAATAGATAAAAGTAAATTACAAAAATACATTTAATATGGACATGTTCTATTAAAGACTGGATTTTCTATTCATAGCAGGTAGATGTGCCATGTCATTACTGTCATTATTTATAACATTTAAGACTATGTTGTCTCCTGATATAGCTACCCTCTTTCGGGAGTCCAGCTTAAACTTTCGCGAGAACCCTGTTACTATATTTTAGTGAACCAAATTGAAACTGTGCAGCACATTGATTTTGAATTTTGTTTTGCCAAAGATGGACAATATCAAATCATATCAAAGAAAAGGAAAGATGATTTGGGAATAAAGGAGGAAATATGAGTATTTTTCAAATGATTATAACAAACACACACGTAGTATCTCAAGCCATGATTACACAAAGAAATAGCTCACGTAGACACACACGCTAGTCCTCAAACATGCGCACCACTCTTAGAAAGCGGAAGAGAAATAGAAGAACAATTATAAAAATGAAATCCAAAAATAAACTTAACAAGGACATGTTCAATCAAGGAGAGTATTCTCTATTCATGACAGTGAAATGTGACATATCATTCCAATATTATCTGTAGGACTGTAACAAGTAACACTATGTTGTCTCCTTATATAGCTACCCCCTGTCTAGGCTCCAGCTACAACTTTCATGACAACCCTGTTACTATGTTTTAGCGGACCAATTTTATATTAAATTAGAACTGTGCAACAAATTGCTTTCGAATATGAACTACGTCAAGAAATATTTAGGCCAACGATAGACATAAACAAATCCTGTGGGCTAAAAAGAAAGTAGAGAGTTCTTCAAAAATTTAAAACATCCAACTAGCACGAATTATCTCAAGCCATGGTTATGCATCTAAAGGTATGCATATATGGAGTGATTGGACATCCCATGGATATTGAATCTGTCTATAGTGTTTCACACAGGATTTGAAACAAGTTGACTGGGATTTTCTAGTAGCATTTTACTTAAGTGAGTCTACATGTTTTCAAAGTTGTTAAAATGTGTGTGTGTGTGTGTGTGTGTATTTCCGTCAAGAAGACTCCGAGTAACACTACTAATTTGTGTTTTCAAATGCTACACAAAAGAGAATGCCCTATGGATAAATGAATGTAGAGAAGGGAAGAAATAAATCAAGAACATGGTTCCCAAGAAAGTAGGTCATCCTTCGGTTCACAAGAGGAGCAGTTCCATAAGTAATTAAGTATCTAACTAGCATATAAATGAAATCTTTAGAGTGACGTACCGTCCTCAGGCACAACTTCTTGGTTTTCTTCAAGTAATGCCATTACTCTTCTTAGTGGCTGCATGGCAGCCTCTTTGCACACTAACCGAATATCTGAACCTGAATAGCCTTCTGTCCTTTCAACCAATATATCATATGGAAGTTCCTCCTCACCTGGTGTAGATGGCAATAGTTCCTCAAACATTGCTCTTCTTGCTTCTGGTTCCGGGAGAGGTACAAGGATCTTATATCATGGTTAAAAGAACTGTTCAATATGTAATATTCAATATTTAATATAAGCTGAAATGTTGTGCAATTTTCTCATCCATAGAATGTAAGACCATTATTGGACTAAAACTTCAATTAAAATTGTGAGAAAGGAGTAAAAATGTGCTTAGGAAAATAAAAAAAAAAAAAAAAAAAGAGAGAGTAAAAATGTTGGGAACACCACCAACCCTTACATATTTTGTGCCATGAGTAAGTGAAGCGTCTACAAGCGAACGAGAAATTATAACATGGTCCCGGGACCATTGGTCCCGACCAATCACGTGTTGACACATGAGCAAAAAGTGAAATAAAGCTGACACATTTGCGTATGTGTCAACACGTGATTTGCCCGGGACCATGTAATAATTTCTCATGTACAAACACCAGATCATAAAACTGACACTATCAAAGATTCTAATTATTCTGTTCCTTTGAAGTAAAAATAAAAAGATAAAGCTGTTTCAAATATAGGTAATTTAACAATGAAATTTATCAAGCAATCAGTTAACTTCCACTTTGTGCATAACAATAACCTGTTTTTTATTTTTCTTTTTTTGAGAAAATAAAAAAACAAATAGCACTTTTTTTTTTTTTTTTTTATATATAAAAAAAATAAGGTAATTTAGAGCAGATAAGTATTTCAACAATGAAATTTCTCAAGCAGTCAATCAACTCCCACTTTTGCATGCCAATAACTTGTGTTTATAGATTTTTCATGACTTTTTATATGAATTGCATGAGCAGCCGTATGACACGGCAGCAAAGAAGTCACTCACATCATGTAAGAATATGATTTGTATTAATATAATTAGGACTTGTCCCACAGTTAGTAAGCTCATTATAAAACACATAAACTTGTCAATTAACATTTAAACTATAGAACCACTCAATGCAGAAAGGAAGTATAAATTAGCCTCTCAAAAGGATACCCGCTTCTCAAGACGTCGGAGCATAGCAGCATCTAGTTCCCAAGGAAGATTTGTTGCCGCCAAAACAAAAACAAGCTCATCTGTCCGCGTCAAACCATCCATCTGCAGTCTAACTCTAGCCATTAATTTTTGTGAAAGTAGAGATGAAATCATATATGAATTTTTATGTGATTTACTTGTGCACCAAATGCAGATTTATTATAGAGACATCATATAGCAAAATCTTTTTAGAAGTACCGGATACCATGGCAAGGAATGTCCACAAGCATGAGCCACACATATGATGTGAAATATAAATTAACATAGGTGTCAGTGTTGAACAATGACCTCAAAATGTGAGGATAATGATAGTTGGTTCCAACACACTCATACAAGTGTGTTTTCAATGTCCAAAAAAAGCTAACATAGGAGTACCTAGAGCACACAGCATATCTGTAATTGCTGTTATTCAGACTCATACAAGTGTGTTTTCAATGTCCAAAAAAAGCTAACATAGGAGTACCTAGAGCGCACAACATTTCTGTAATTGCTGTTATTCAGATAGGGATAACTAATCAAAAAATAGTACTCCCGTGGTATTGCTTTCGATGGAATTGTGTAGATCAGATGAATGCTGTGGAGAGGATTTACTTCTATGGATTACATAAAATGGAATTTCTACAACTGAGTCCACGGTGTCACTCATTTCATGCTACAAGGCCTTTGCTCCAACAATAGCAACAAAATAGACAAAAAAGATCCTCTACACAGGATCTTAAAGATATAACGTGTGATATCTAGTTAAGGTAATTTCCAGTTCAGTGTTGCACCCGTTGATGTTTTTAGTGCTTTGTTTTTATATGTGAAAGAGTTGTATTTCAGTTCTACATAAGCATGCTTTTTATATATTATTATTGCAATTCTAAAAAACAGATGTCACCTGTATGAGTAGCTCAGTTTTCAATCGCCTACTTGCTTCATGCTCACTGCGTCCTTCACCACGTTGACTAATGATTGCATCGATTTCATCAAGAAATATAGTTGACGGTGCGTGATGCCTCGCAAGCTCAAACAACACTTTTATTAACTTCTCTGAATCACCTGTAATGCTATACAAAGTTAGAAGTGTGATGCACTGCATATCTGTCAACATTTAATTTTGACAGAATATCTATCATAAGTTCTTTTCTTAGCAAAGAATGTTAGATCTTATGAATCATCTAATTTCCTTATAAACAATTGTCTTGATACAGGACAGCACTGGGAAATAAAAAATAATGGTTTTATGTTGTGCTTCGACTAAGAAATGCGTGGATATTTTGAGTTCAATAAAATAAAGAAAGGTTTTAGGGGTTTGTAGACAAAAATGGATTGGAATTGGCTCCACTTAGGGACCGATAGGGTGCAGGAAGTACAAAAAAAGTGCACAGGAATCTATGGGCAGCAAATATTTTGTGATTTTTATTTCTAAACTAAGGCCAATAGGTAGGAGTTGACTAGGATTCGATGCACTGTTTGAGGCTGTGAACAGTAACTGAGGCATCAGCTTTCACCAGTGCACCAAGCAACAGCCTGGGCCGAGCGTACTTGGAAGATCTCCGCAGGAGTGACGATCTCAACTCTACCAGATTCTTTGTTGCTTTTCCGGTTTCCCTCATCGACGGAAGCCTCTCGTGTTCTTAAAGGGGGTCGCCGTGACTGGGGTACGGCATCTCTTTGTTTGGAGGCTTGGAGCTTTAGGGTTGGGTGCTCGGAAGTGTTGAAAGAGAAGGGGCTGAAGAAGGTGACGCTGTACGGTCTTCCTCTCCATCTCTGGTGTCATGCTTTGTTCGTGACAGTTGGTGATCTTTGTGGTGGGTTTATTTGGGTGGAAGCTGATGAAGCTTTGGACGCTGAAAGAGTCCGTATTACAGTCGCTGATGGTCGGGTTTGCCCTCCGTTTGTGTTCATTCACGATGATCAGTTTTGCTATAAGGTGTTTATTTGGGAGGAGAAGCCTCCCGAGCTTGTTCCAACGACAGATAGCTTGGAAGGGGGTGATGGTTCGCACTTGCTTAAGGAGAAAGAATGGCTGCGGTGGGAATCCATGGGGAAAAAAGGAATGGCAGAATTCCAGGTATGGAAAGAATGGAGGGACACACTTTGAATTCGTAATTCGGAGTGCTTTAAACGGATATTCAATCAGAAGCGGAAGGAAGGGCTTCCTTTTTTACAGAATCGCCGTCGGAATGGTGGGCTTCGAATGACGCAGTGGGGCGGAGGTTTCGCCGGATTTGGTGGTCGGACTTTTGTGCAGCAACGGGATCAATCAAGACGAAGAGGTGGTTTCCCCACACATCAGGCGCGTGGGAGAGAGAGGTTTTCAGAGCGTCCACGTGGTTGGCGCTCAGGATTTGTCCGTTCCCAATGGAGACCAGCTGTCCCCACGGTCAATTCAAATTTCACTTCAAATTTGGCTTCCCATGCAGTTGGGCCTGTTGGAAGGCTTGGTGTCAAGGCTACTATCTCTTGCAATGGTGGGCCTAAGTCTGTTGGGCCGCTTGTTGGGCCTGAAAGGCCTATTTCAGTTTCTAAGAGGCCTAGTTCTGTTTCTTTGGGATCTGGATGTGATGTGCAAGTTCCTTGTGCTGTGGTTGGTGGGCCGAGCGTCCAGCCTTCTAAAGAAGTTAATGTTGACGGGTCTGTGGGATTAAAAGGTAGGCCGAGTTGTGGATCCGGGCCGGTGTCTAACAGATTTGAGCCCTTGCCCTCCTTGTGAGATGATAGAGTTCCTTGTGTTGCTGGGTCGATGAAAACGAGAACGAATGTTGATCGGCGAGTGAAGGTTCCGGTCCTGAGACGTCGGTTGCCGAAGAAAAAGGTGATCCTTCCCGCTTTTCGTAAGAAATGGTCACGAAAGGATAAGCAAAAATGGGTGGTATCTTCGCAATCCGGTTTTGAATTGGGTATGTTTTCAATTCCTTCTGGTTCTTCTCCTATTAAACCGTGTTTCTCTTCTTCTTCTTCTCCTTTTTTGGGGGAGTCGACAATGTCTTTGGAAAAGGTGAAGGGTGGGACAGCTTTTGCTTCGTTCTCTAAAGAATCGGAGGGTGAGAGGGACTCCGTTCTTGTGGACAGACAGGATGGTGATTCTGGGTTTAGACTTGGTTTCTCTCGGCAAGGTGAAGGTTCGTGCGAGGGAGTTACAGTTTGTGTTGGTCGGGATGTGAAGGTGAAGCTTGATGATGTTACGGCTGCCTTTCTGTTGAAGGAGATACGGGACCATTTGGCGTCGAAAGGCTTTCTTGGTGATTCAGGAGGAGTTTTGACAGAGGAGGAGCCTGTTTCACAGTTTTGCTTGCATTCCTCTTCTGTTCTTGATGATTGGGAGGGAGCTGCAGGTTCTTCTCTGGATGGTGACTTGGGCATGATTCCATGGGAAGACTTGGAACAAGCAGTGAATTTGGCTGTTCCTTTGGCTGTTGTTCCGCCTGGGGGTAATTGGGTTAGCAACTCAAATGTTGTCGGAGTGAATGATGTTGAGGAGGAGTGGGTAAGGGAGAAGGGATTGGAAGTGGGTCCTTTGTTGGGGGTTTCTTTTGAGGGTAGAGTGGATGAGGCTCTGTGTTTGTTTAATGATGTCCTCAATTCTCATTTTCAGGAAAAAGCAGGTGGTAAGATAAGGTTGCAGGAGGAGAGAGGGGAGACAGTGTTGCAAAGCCCCAATGATTTTATCACGTATGAAAGGAGAAATAGGGGATCCAGATCAGGAGGGAGAGGTGGTGGAAGGAAGGGAGGGTTTGCTTTCTAAAGTGTTTCCCTATGAAGTTACAAATTCTTTCATGGAATGTCCGGGGTCTCAATGATCCGGTTAGGAGGAAAGTGGTGAAGTCGGTTATTCATAAAGGTCGGGGTCATGTGGTATGTCTCCAAGAGACTAAACTTTCTTCGATGTCTGATAGGATTGTGAGGAGTCTTTGGGGTGGGAGATTTGTGGAGTGGATTGCTTTGGATGCTATTGGTTCCTCGGGGGGCATCTTGATCATGTGGGATAACAGAGAGGTGTCTAAAGTGGAGGCTTAGGTGGGGCGCTTCTCCGTTTCTTGTGCTCTTGCTTTGGTTGAGGATGGTTTTAATTAGGTCTTTTCGGGTGTCTATGGTCCTTCGGAGGATGGTGTGCACCACTTGCTTTGGGAGGAGTTGGGGGAGACTAGAAGTCGATGGTGTTTGCCTTGGTGTATTGGTGGGGACTTTAATGTGGTTCGCTCTCCTTTTGAGAGGTCAACGGGTGGTAGGTGGATGTCTGATATGGTGGCTTTCTTGGAGTTTATTGATGAATTCGGGTTGGTTGATTTGCCTTTGGTTGGAGGGCTGTTTACTTGGTCCAGTGGCCGTACCCCTCCTACCCTTTCCCGGATTGACAGATTCCTTGTGTCGGGGGAGTGGGAGGAGAGGTTCTCGGAAGTTGTTCAAGCATCGTTGCCTCGTCCCATCTCTGACCATGTTCCGTTGTTGTTGGATTGTGGCGGGTTGTGCAGTAGACGATTTCCTTTCAGATTTGAGAATATGTGGTTGCGGGCTGAGGGCTTTCTTGAGCAGGTTCGTCTTTGGTGGGAGGGGTATGGTGTGGTGGGTACCCCTAGTCATCTGCTTGCAGGCAAATTGCGTCTTTTAAAGGAGAATCTTAAGACTTGGAATAAAGAGGTCTTTGGGAATCTGGAATGGAGAAAAAATCGGGTTCTTACAGAGATTGCGGCTATTGACCGTATGGAGGGTCAAGGGGATTTGGTGGAAGCTTTGAAGCTTAGGAGGGCAGAGTGCAAGGCCGAGTTTTCTGAGATTGCTATCATGGAGGAGATCTCGTGGAGGCAAAAATCTCGAGCCTTATGGCTCAAGGAGGGGGGATAGAAACAAGAAATTTTTCCACAGATTGGCCAATGCTCATAGAAGAGGAAATCACATAGGGAGGATTCAGGTTGAGGGGGTTACTCTTTGTAAGGAGGAGGACATCTGCAAAGGAATTTCAGAGTTCTTTGAGAAGTTGTTCTTTGAGACTGTTGAGTGGAGACCTTTGCTTGAAGGGTTGCAGGTTGCCTCTATTTCTGAGGAGGAGTGCTTGGGTTTGGAGGTGCCTTTTTCTGAGGAGGAAGTGCTGATTGTTTTGAAGAGCTGCAATGGGGATAAGGCCCCAGGTCCAGATGGTTTCACCATGAGGTTTCTTCTTGATTGCTGGGAGGTGGTTAAAGGAGAGGTGATGGGCACTTTCCATGCTTTCCATTCTCGGGGATTTTTTGAGAAAAGCTTGAATGCCATGTTCATTGCTCTCATTCCGAAGGGGGGGGGGGGGGGGGGGGGGGGGGGCATTGGATGTGAGGGATTTTCGCCCTATTAGTTTTGTGAGGGATTTTCGCCCTATTAGTTTGGTGGGTTGTATCTACAAGTTGATTGCCAAAGTGCTCGCTTCTAGATTGAGGAAAGTTTTGGATGGTATCATTTTGGACTCTCAAAATGCTTTTGTAGGAGGCCGTCAGATTTTGAATTCAGTCCTTATTGCTAGTGAGTGTGTGGACTACAGATTGCGTAGTGGGGTCCCGGGTGTTCTTTGTAAGTTGGACATTGAGAAAGCGTATGACCATGTGAGTTGGAGCTTTCTTCTGTACTTGATGGAGAGGATGGGGTTCGGTGTTAGGTGGAGGAGATGGATTCAGTTTCGTATTTCCAATGCTCGCTTTTCGGTCCTTGTTAATGGTGCTCCTACCGGTTTTTTCTCTAGCTCAAGGGGCTTGAGACAGGGGGATCCTCTCTCCCCCTTCTTGTTCTTGCTTGTGATGGAGGCCCTTAGTAGATTGATGCGAAGGGCTACTGATTTGGGTCTTGTGAGAGGCTTTCGGGTAGGCAGGGATGCTGCTTCTCAGTTGGAGATCTCTCATTTGATGTTTGCTGATGACACTCTGGTTCTTTGTGATGCGAATGTGTCCCAGATTAGATATCTGAGATGTGTCTTGATTTGGTTCCAAGTCGTCTCCGGCCTTAACGTGAATGTGGGCAAGAGCGTTTTGGTGCCGGTTGGGGAGGTTCCTGAGATTGAGACTTTTGCTGACATCCTTGGATGTCGCACTGGT